CAAGTTAAATTTATCATCCCCATCTCTCCTGACCCATCACAGGCTTACCAGTGATTTCTCCCACTTAGAACCACCTCAACCTGCCCTTCCCTGTTAATTTTCTGTCTCAGTGAAAGAGCTTCTATCCCCCTAGATACTCAACCAGAAATCTTAGAGTTGGCTCTTCCACCTCCCTACATGTTCCCCATGATATTCAGTCAGACTTCAAGTCCTGTGTATTCTGCCTCCTGAACATCTCCCAAACCTGTGTCCTCTGCATCCCCTTCATCACCACCCTCGTCTTTTCATGTTGGGATTATCCTACCTATGCTCTCTGTTCTCATCTCAGATGCCATGATCTGTCCTCTCTATGGCCACCAGAGTCATCTCTACAAAGTGCAAATCCAAGAGAAGCCTTCAACGACCCCAGATTATTTTGGGATAAACTCTAAGCTTCTTCTAAGCACACAAGGTCCTGCATTTCTCTCAAGCCCCACCTCTTGCTATAACCACACTGAAGTACTTGTGGTTTCCAAAGGTACTCCTCTCTCAAAGCTCAGTGCCTTTGTACCTGTCTTCCAGGAAGGTCCTTTATCCATATCTTTGTCTGGCTAAGTCTTACATACTCCTCAAGCCTCAGCTCAGAACTTCCTTCAGGTAGAGTTCTGTATCAATTTGGATGTTTTCGGCTCAACTAACAAAATATCCAACTAGATATTTAATAGTATATTAAATTTTAAAGAGGTTTATTGTCTCCCAGTAAGAAATCTGCAGTGGCAGTTTCACAGCTGGTTAATTTAGCAGCTAGAGGACATCTGAACTCTGGGCTGCCTTTTCTTTGTCTTGGCTTTCCCCATATGGACTCAAAATACGTGTCTTGACTCTAAACACCAGATCCACACAAAGCCATACTCAAAGCCAGAAAAGAAGTGAGGAATTCCCCTTAGACAGCTCTCCTTTTTATCAGAGAGAAAAATCTTTCCCAGCAGACTTTGTGTCTGGTTCCCTTAAGATCTGCATCCCCAGTTTACCATATTCAGATCACTGGCAAAAGGAAAAGAGTTGTTGTGGCTTATCTGTGACTGGAGGAAGAAACGTGTCTTCTTTGAATACACTCTGCCTCATAGAGAATAAAATTAGTGTTCTCTTGGCAAAGACAGAGGTGGAGACCATGATTGGGGAAGGCTACCAATAGTTTTGGAGATGACTTCTTTGCCAAGTGTCCCTTGCTCGTGGCCCCCTCACCAGAGTGAGTTAGATGCTTCTCAAGTATTCTGTTATTGTGCTTTCCAAAGTATAGTTTAGTTGCTGATTTACTTATCTACTTCCTTACACTAACCTCCTCAAAGTTGGGGACTGTTTTATTCAACACAATTCCTCAGAAGACCTAAGACTTAAGACCTACCTAAGGCCTAGTGCATAGCAGGTGCTCAATAAAAATAAATCAATTAAAAGAATTGATTGGATGACTGTATCATTGAACTAATTAATTAGTAAAATGTCCAGGACACTTTCCACATAGTCTAGAATTGTAGTGCATTAATGCTAATAATTTGACCCAATTGATATATGGCCAGTTTGTTCTATTTGCTCCATGCAATTTCTATTGTCTTACTGTTTTTGTGGCCCAGCCCTGTGATCTCTTACCGACTGTAGCAGCAACCAAAGGACCATGTTCTTTTTTAAATAGAGTCAATGTTTCCTGTTCCCACAAATGGCCACCCAGGGGTTGTTGAGCCATCTTTTTTTCTTCCTTGGTCCATCAGTGCTCTGCCAAGCCAGCCTGGATCAACATCATCTACCATCCTCCCATCTTTAGGGTAGAAATTCAAAGTCAGGGTTTCTTTTCCCGGGTCAAGTTGACCTGTAATTTCCATCTTCCTCATACTAACTCTCAGTTTGTAGAACTGCATAAGCTCTGCAAAGTGGTCACAAGCTTCTCATCCAGTCAGTGCCTTAACAAATATTTATTGAGGGAATTAGTGAATGGATCATTTGACTGACTTGTGTGTAATCTACAAAAACAGGCATAAGCAGACAAGAATTCTCATTTAAAAGGTATGTGCCTCAGCTAAAACACCTTTCAAAATAACCAAACCAGCAGCTTTTATCAATGTTGGCATTCTGTCCTCAAACTAATTATCTGCTTACATAACCGACCTTATGACGGACTGTTGCCACCTTCTTAAGTTATCTTTGGAAACCAAAATCAAACCCAAATACAGTTTATGGTCTTGCCAGTTTCAAAGACTGCCATTTTGATGTGGCCAGAATTCCCTATTGAATTCAGAAATCCAATGCAAATTCTTGTTGGAAAAAGAGAAATGTAAATTGAATCAATAATGAATAATAAATAAAACAGTTGATGATTAACTTAGTCCTGAAAATAAAAATAGAAGCGCCAACTGAAACACGCTCTGCTGATTTTCTATTATAAGATAAATAGCTGGTTGATGAAAAATTTGTTTTTGACATTTATACAGAAGATGGTTTCTTAACAAACCAAAGCACTACAGAGTACTGTCATGGCAATATCCCGTGTGACAATGAGGACTATCCCATGGCAGAAATCATAGCCAGGGTCCTCAAGGATCCCTTCAGCACAGGAGAAACATCAGATAGAATGTTCTATTAGAAATTAAGGTCCATGAAAACAAAGTCATGGAATCGTGCCCCAGACAGCCAGACAGGAATACCTCTTGATGCAGCTTTCCCAAGCAGGATTTGTCAGAGGATCAATGGAGATGGAGATGGCAGCCTGGCCATCAAGCGTGGCGAGCCCTGCTGGCACAGAAGCACAGCTACAACTCAGCAATCAGGAAATGGGACTCATTTGGCACAAGATGAAAACCAATCTATGAAACAAAAGAACTGAACTGCCAGCAAGCATTGCCCATCGCTACAAACCAAAGGCCAATCTTGGCTCACTGAGTCATAAACCTCTAAAGGACAGAAACAGCTAGATAATATTATTTGTAAATTATAAGGCTTGAGCTGACTCTGAAATGTACATTCATAAAACTGCTGAGTGCAGATGAGCTTTAGCACACATTTAATCCAAATCCCTCTTATAACCCGAAGAAGAAACCAAGTTTTAAAGAGGGAAAGGGACATGCCCAATCTTATGTGGCCCTCTCTGGGGGAATGAAGACTGGACCCCTGAGCCCCTGACTCCTACCCAGGGCTCTTCCCGCTTTATACCGTAAAGTCCCTACCACATTGCCCTGCCTGCAGCTGACTTTCAATACAACTTGATGAACAAATCATGTCAATCTTGACTATGTATGAGCATGGTCAGATCCCAATTATGTGAGGCCTATAATTCAGGGGGAGGGCCTTCTTTAAGAAAAAGGATGTAGGCTGGGAGCGGTGGCTCATGTCTGTAATCCCAGCACTCTGGGAAGCTGAGGCAGGCGGATCACTTCAAGTCAGGAATTCAAGACCAGCCTGGCTAACATGGTGAAACCCTTTCTATACTAAAAATATAAAAATTAGCCGGGCATGGTGGCACACACCTGTAGTTCTGTCTACCTGGGAGGCTGAAGTGGGAGAATCACTTGAACCTGGGAGGCAAAAGTTACCATGGGCCAAGATCATGCCACTGCACTCTAGCCTGGGTGGCAGAGCAAGAACCTGTCTCTAAATAAATTAATTAAATAAGGTAGAAAAGTATTTATTTAGACCGTGAGAAGAAAGCATAACAAATTTGAAATATAACAAAGTTGACTATTAAGTATCACAAAATCCAGAAATATAATATTTCTATTGACTAACTGCTGATATGCCTCTACAATGCTTCTTTCTTCCAGTGCTTGGCTTCATACTCTGATTTTCACACTCCATATCAAAACAACTGTGTAACCTTTTCTAGAGAGAAAACAGACAGTTCAGTCTTCTAGCAAAAAAAAAAAAAAAAAAAAAAAAAAAAGTTGTATTATTAATCGTTCAGAACTGTAGTGCAGTGGTTCAATAATAGCTCACTGCAGACTCAAATTTCTGGGCTCAAGTGATCCTCCCACCTTGGCCTACCAAGTAGCTGGGACTACAGGCATGCCCCACCCTTGGTTGACTAACTTAAAAAAAAAAAATATA